TAATATGACATAGCAAAAGGCCGGACATTCCTTGACATTCACATTTGACCTGAGACCTAAGGGCACTCGTGACAATGTGGCCGAGTGGTTCACGTGTCACAGTTCGACTCCCTCTGGGTGTGTTGATAAGACCGATGCTAGGTCGAAACTGCAGTCCACTGGTGCCTGGATGAAAACAAGTTTTAGGAAAACTCAGTTATGTGAATTTAAAATGGATATGTCAGATGTATTCATATAATTGTGGGAAATTTCTACTAGCAGTCCTTCATCACCTTAAACGAAATTAGGTGAATACATCTAATACTACTGATTGACTACTTAAATGCGAAAAATAAGTAACTTAGTCGAGGCTTCCTTATTTGACTATGGGAAAAACTTATCCATCAACCCTTGAATAATCTATAGCGACCTAAGTTGACTAAGTTCCTATTCGAAAATTACTGAAAGTCTCGACGCCTTCTTATTCTTGTCTCTTACCCGGCCTGCGGTCGAAGGGGTTCCAGAGGCCGTCTGCTGACCCCTCGCCGCTTCTCAGTGAGATCCCTTGATCTGTGTAGATGGTGCTTTGCCAGACCTGGCCGTCAGGCAGGTCGTTCTTCTCTCTCCGTGAGTCGACCGATGCTACACAACGACTCAAGCGCCACACGGCCGCTGCCTCTCTTCGGCTTTCGCCCTCCTGTCCGCGGCCTACGGACAGACTTGGTACCATGACCAGTTGATGCGTCTTAGAGTCCTCGCCCATCTCCTCTTCACCTACTTCGAGCTTTTCTTCCTCCTCGTCGTCGTCGTCGTCGTCGTCGTCATCCTCCTCCTCCTCATCCATTCCTTCGTCTTCGTCTTCGTCCTCTTCTTCCTCCTCTTCCTCTGCGTCTTTGGGCTCGCCTGATTCTGACGTTTGACGACGGGTTGCCAAGTGCTCCACTTCACTCTCGCTGCTCCTCTTCTGGCTGTTGCTGGTCTCAACCAACCGTGAAGACGCCGGCTCTTTCAGCAGACGCTGCTTCGCCTGGTCACGGTAGTTGAGATGCGGCGGCTGTCGTAGATGCCCTGGCTGGCTCGTCTGCCGAGTCCGTGGATGCTGGCCAACAACAAAGAGGCCGCTGTCAGTCGACCAGCCAATTGGTATGACAGCCCGACCATCTCCGGTCGTCTGGTCCTCCGGTGAATGTACTCTGTCGGCAACATAGTTTAGGGCGTCAGGCCAATTGGCGGGCTCCAGTTTGGCGGGACTCGAGCCAGTGCGAGTGGACGGAACCTGCGGAACCGGCGGAACCGGCGCCATCGAGGCTGTCGATGCGACGGGACTGCAGTTCTGACAGCGCCAGTGTCGAGGAAAAGGGGCCTCGAGACCGGCGCAGAGCAACCGAGTGCCCGAGTCGGGAACCACGACGCCGAGGGGCGTCTGGAAGGTGTGGAGGAGGCTCGAGTCTTCCGGACCGGCAAGGCCCTCCTGGCCAGCGACGTCTAGGATCTCCGGCGTTTCCTGACACTCGTCGACCTTTTGCGTGCCCTCCGCCTTCTTTGGGTCGCCTCGTTCGGTCGCCGTCTCCTCTTTCCCCGTCGTCCAGGCCTCCGCCTGCCTGACGACCAGTTCGTGATCTTCATGGTTGGCTCGTTTTGACTTGCGCACTAGTCCGAGGCTGGCAGACGCGATGCCACAGGCGGCGCAGAAGCCGAGGAGACCGACAATCACGGCGAGATGATGGCGAAACTTGTCGTCAGAAGCGGTCGGATCGACTGCTTTGGCCGATTTGCCCAGCGCCTCTTGTGCCTCACGTTTGACTGGCGCCTCTTTCACCGCCAGGCCTGTCGTCCAATGAAGAAAGGAGCAAGAGTCAATGAGAAAGCCGATTCTCGCCAATTCCAAACAATGCTCTGACACATGCTCGCTTTGGTACCACGAAAACAGGGCAGCCATATGAAAAAAGATAGCAAGTCCAAAATGGTGTGGCCTCCAGTTTGGTGGTTAAAACTATCGTTCAGTACAACTGGTTTGATCTCGTTAGTGCAATTGGATCCTGGTTTCACGGCGATTCAGATAAACAACACATCCTGACCGAAGTCCTCTGTCATAGTAGTCATGCTATTGTTCACTTTCGAACTTTTGACTTACTATGTTCTCAGAAGTTTTCACAGCATCGTCGTAGGCATCGTCAGCCAGTCCTGCCACTCATAGCACCCAACTACGACTTGTCAAAAAGACAAGTGGAGCCTAACACTCGTCTAACTTTCTGCCGAACGATGGTAATAGAACTCCTCCTTCTCTGGTACATCTACCCACAAAATGAGGAATGATAACACATTCGTTGGTCAAGGGATGGACTTTATTTGTCTCATTTGACGAGTTGTAGCTTGGCGCAGAGACTGAGAGGACACACACTGACAATGTCAAATAGGATGACGACGAAATAACTGGTGGGTTCCAGGCACATGGTTCAATGGTGAAATTATTGCTACTATTATGACACAGGACTTCGGACATGGTTAATTTATGTAGGCCATTCTGACAACTATATTACACCTGTCTTCAGTCTATGACTCTCACATCCTGGGTAAGACGAATCATACATCTGAGGATGTGAAGACCAAGATGTTGTGGTCTCGGGTATGTGCTTCTAGGGCCTCGAGAAATAGCGCCAGGAGTGAAAGGCACACAGGGACTGGACCCGAGTG